GGTCCCAAATCCCTTTGCCCTCCCGGACCCGGAGCGGTTCCAATCCGCTTTCCCCTCCCCCGCCAGATCCACTTGCAGCTTGGCTGGATCCCAGCGGTTCTGATTGGTTCCTTCCCTGTAGTGGTTCTGACCCCACCACACACACACATCCCCCAAACTCCTGAGCCAGCCAGTCCCCGGCCCCCTCTCACAAGTGCCTGGGGGCGGAGTCTCACGTCTCTGTACCCAAGGGGGGCGGGGCTAAGTCCTGGTGCCCTCGCCCCCATAGTGCCGGAGTCTTGTGTCTCCACGTGGAAAGTGGGCGGAGCTCGGACCTCGCACGCACACCCAGACGCTGGTTGACTCTGTGATTTATTGCTGAGGTGCGAGGCGGACGGCTGGGGCTGTCACTCCGTCCTCTCTGCCTCTGCCCCACCGCCGGGGTCCAGTCCCGCCGGGCCACCCCCGTTCTCCTCCTCCTCGGCGGCCCGGATGCTCACGCACAGCACCAGCGTCTGCAGGAAGCCGTAGAGGCAGGCGAACTGCAGCAGGTATTTCTGGACCAGCCACAGGGCCAGGTACATCCCGTAGGTGGTGACAAGGAAGGTGGCCAGCCCGTGGAGCCAGACTTTCAGGGGCCCCCTGAACCCCAAAATATCCAGGAGCAGCCGGAAAGCCGGGGAGCAGGCACAGAGCAGAGTCACCACGCACAGGTCGAAGAGGTGCCGGGCGAAGTTGAAACAGATCTGGAAATGCTCCGGGATGTCGGCCGGTGGCTGGTGGGGGGACAGATACTGAGGGACCTGGGAGACCCTAGAGAAGAGGCCCTGTCCCGGGGCAGGGCCCGGATCCCCGGCGCGGCCCCATCCGATCAGAGCCAGGAGGCGCCGGGCACCCCACCACTGCGATTTCCGGGGGGCCTCCGTCAGCCCGCCCTCTTTTCCTGCCTCGCGCCCCCACCAGCGGAGTCTTGTCAGCCAGGCCTTGGCTCTGTTTAGGGACATGGGGGGAAACCGGCGAGAATCCAGCGCCCCAAATAAAATCAACACTCGGGTGTGGGGGGACGGAGGGAGCAGTGAGAGGGGTCCAGACCGTGGGGCAGTAGCCAGCTCCCCTCTCCAACGCACCAGCCTCCCCGAAACTCTCTCTGGGGCGTTTTCCCCTCTAAAGCCGCCTTCCACAAACACACGGTTAGTTCAGGGTCCCGTGCTGCTCCCCAGAACCAGACGTCAGCCCCTCGATTTTGCAGTATCGGGGACCCTTCACCACAGAATAGCCACAAATTTCATTCACGTCCGGGTTAACTTCAGTCCCACTGGCAGCTGCTGTCACCCAAAGATGCGAATCTCCCTCGGCCGCCTCTGCTGGGCCTGGGGTCCCTCACCCCTAAACGGTGGTCCCTCAGCCAGTCGGGAGGTGTGTTGTCGAGGTCCAATTCTATCCACCAGCGCCAGGGCTAACAGAACCCCAAAATGTCCTTTCCACCCACACAGACAAATCCTTGTTGATTTCACCCCGTGAATTCTCTGGGCTGGGGGCAGAGCTCAAAGACCCCCCAAAATATGGCTCCTTGTTAATTTCACCCCCTGAGTTGTAGCCACTGGAAATGGTGCTAATTCACCCCAAAATGCAGGGGGGGGGGCCCAAAACACACTGGCTGGTTCAATCCACCCCAACGTGTCTCTTCTGATGTCAAGAATTGTCCGCCCCCGGCAAAATACTGACCCTTGGAAAAATACCGATCTTCACCAGTTTCACTCCCCTGACTCTCTGGGGCAGGAACCCCCCGAAATCCTTGATCCCCTGAAAGATCCGACAGCTGGTTTGTTTCAGTCTCACATCCTCAGTGCTGGGTCACCCCAGTATCACGAGTCCCCCTGAAACAGACAAGCCCATGTTAGGATCCAATCGCAGCAGGACTGATACCCCCCAAAATACTTCCCCTTTGTCCTGCACCAATTCCCCTGGCAGCAGAAATAAGACACCCACAAATACGGCACATCCTCGTTCAGAGCAGGTCACAGCACGGTTCATGCACCCCGACCTTTTTACCCCGTCTCTGAAGGGTAAAAATCCTTCACTCCCTCAAATTTCTGTCTATAATAGAAAATCTCAGCCCCTCACAACACACCCCAGCTGGTTAATTTCACCCCTACATTGTCAGTGCTGGTGGTCCCCTCCCAAACACGGGACCCCAAAATCTAGCAATCCTCACTGGTCAGGCGCACCGGTCGCCACGTCTAAGGGAGATTTGCACCCCGAAACATTAATCCCCTGACAGACAAATCCCATTAAATTCAGTCTCTATTTCCCTGTGCTGGTGGCAGTATGCACCCCAAAAGTACTGCTCCCCCAAATACCAGCTTGCTGATTTCACCCCATACGGTCAGTGATGGTGGTGGGGGGATACACCCCTGAAATATCGGGCTCACCCTGAAATGCCAGCCACTATACCCCACAGTCTCACGGGTCCTGGCAGGGGAAGCACCCCCAAAACACCAGCGGGTCAATTTCAGCCCCCCATTGTCAGGGAGGGCAGCACAGGTTCGCACCCCCCCAAAAAATATCAAACCCTCCCTGAAACGCCGGCGGATTCATTTCAAAGCCCCATCCTCACTGCTTGTTCCGGCAGAGGGGGGGACACCCCGAAATAGGGATCCCCGAAATATACACCCAGACCATCGCTGGTTCGGGTACCCCAAACCCCCGCTCCCACAAAACAACAAAGCGGGTGGATCTCACCCCCAGACTGTCCAGGGTGGGGGAAGTGGCCCCCCCCAAAAATCCTACCCCCGCTCCCCCCCAGTTTTAATCACCCCCCCCGAACACAGCCCCCCCCCCCGTTTTCAGCTCCCTCTGACCTGCGGGGGGCGGGGGGTCCCCGGGAAATCTCGCTCCATGGCTGCGCCGGTCCGGCCTGGCGGCGGGGTCCGGGGGCACCGAGCGCCCCGAAGTGGGGGGGACCCGGGCGGGCGGCGGGGCCGGGAGCACCGAGCGCCCCGAAGTGGGGGGACCGGGGCGGGCGGCGGGGCCGGGAGCGTGGCAGGGAGGGGAACAGGCTCCGCGCCCGGCCCGAGACGGGGAAAATCCAGCAGCTGATCGGGTTACAGGAAGGACGGGATTGGGCAGGGGGTGGGGCCTCTGGGGAGCCCGGACGCCTGGGTTCTTTCCACCGCTGGGGGGTTGGTGGGTTAGAGCAGGGGGGCTGGGAGCCAGGACTCCTGGGTTCTCTCCTGGCTCTGGGAGGGGAGTGGGGGCTGGTGGGTTGGGGGGGGGAGCTGGGGAGCCAGGACTCCTGGGTTCTCTCCCCGGCTCTGGGAGGGGAGTGGGGGCTGGTGGGTTGGGGGGGGGAGCTGGGGAGCCAGGACTCCTGGGTTCTCTCCCCGGCTCTGGGAGGGGAGTGGGGGCTGGTG